GTTTTATATAATTTGTTGTAGTTTTTGTAAGTACAGTTGAGAAATCCTTGTGTGACCTTGTGAATTTATTGATGTTTTTAAATACAATCCAAATAAAGCAGTAACTCTCATTTATTACTAGTTTTATTTTTATTTTATTTCTCGTTGGTTATGGCTAACTGATGTATTACAAGATAGAATGATTGGTTGAGTTTTTTTGTTTTTTTTTATATACATCTTATCAACCCTTTGTGTCATTTAAAGACAAAATATATTTTGGATTGTAGGAAGTTGTTTACAATATCTATATAGAATGAAAATTCACAAACACAATGTTAGTGCTGTTGGTCTTGACTTGAAATCTGTTTTCCTTTTCCAATATAAGTTGTAATGAATTGATCTACCTTGCAATAGATCTTAACTTATTTTTGTTCTTCTCTATCGAATTTGGTGTTCAATTTAAAATTCCAGCAGAAGCAGCTGTAATTATTTCATTCTATCATTTTTTTGGGAAGACATGACTGACTCTTATTTCTCCCCAGCTATAGTAGAGCAGACTGGGCTTTCTAACTTTGGTAAGGCAACTAGTTTAGAAGGAAAACTCTGCATCCTTAAAGCCCTACCAACATGACCATATTCTGTGAAGTGTGAGAATCTCTAGTATTGAAACTTGGTCTGGTCAATCATCCATTAGTTTTCTTGGCCTATGCCACTGAAGCCAGGGGGCAATGTCCAGAGGGTGGGTCTGGATATGTTCAACCCCTAAAATCCTCTTCATATATTTGTTCTTGTGGATAGTAAAGAGGTTAATGCTTTTCTAACTCGTATCTGTTATTTATATTTGTTAGTATTGCAAGTGCAATCATAACTATTCACTAGCAATAAGTGAAAATTACTGAAAAAGTATTGCATCTAATTCAATGAAAGAAAATATTTAAAAAAATGTTTGTAAAATAGTGGTGATGACCTGATGCACGCATATACACGTGTGCTTGTGTAGATATATCTACATTTAACATAAATCCTTTTACTTCATTTAACATAAAAGAAAAAACCTCTTCTCGATAAGCAAACCTGTTTTCTTTTATTTATATTGTCTTTATTAGTAACAACAACAACAAAGATGAGGACATTAGTTTGACTGTAAATAATAACTTCTCATCCCAGAAATTGTATTTAGTCTGGAAGTTTTAAAATCAAAAATCCTATTCATTTTTCTCTCTGAATATCTTCCCCATTTAGGTCATGTTAGATTAATTAACTTTTTGACATCTGTAGATTTTTTTTTTGTGCTTTGCTTAGTAGGACATGACAGTATTTGCTTTACAAGTTGTCAAGTTGGATAGCATAAGTTTTGTACCTTTTTAAAATTTTATGAAGAGCTAGAAGGGAAGGATTGACAGGCAGAATTATAAAATATTTAGTTTTGTTCCATTACCTTCTATTTTTCAGCTAGTTTCATAAATTCCATTCTTCCAGCACTTATTTGTCTTGGCAAAGAAGTGGTCTGTACACCTATTTTTTTTTCTCTTTCTTTCTTGCATTTTTGCAACAACCAGAAGGCAAAATATGTAATGAATATGGCAGATAAGTAGAAACTTTTTTTTTACAAACCTGTAAGCATTTTTGCCAAAGAAGCATTTACTCTTTGATTATTTTGACAGAATATTACACTGTTTCTGCAGCTTTTGATTGCAGTTCAAAATCAATCTTTTGGTTTTCCAGAAGCTTCATTCCAACTTGATTGGTTGATTTGGTAATGCTTTTTACATTTCTACTCAGTAATTTTCCTTTGGAAAATATTAAATTCTAAAGTTTCTGTGATCCTTTCTGTCCTTTTCAAACTCTGCTTGTTCCAGAAAGTTAATAACGAAGTGAATGACTTCAGTAAAACAAAATACCAAAATTTAAACTTTCAGATCAAAAACCAATGGCTTTAGTCTCTGTCAGCCTCGTACGGATTCTTTCCCAGACAGGGAATTGAAACTTTTGCTTATAAAAATGTTTGTTGAAAGTCAAATAACATAGATTTGACAATTTATTACAAACCAGTCATTTTGTCCATTGACAGAGAGCGTTTTGATTATACTAGATTTTTTTAAGACATTTAAGCAATTAACATTAATGTATAGGGATTTAATATCTAAATTAGCCATTTTATACCTTTCATTTTTGAACCAGGTTGCAAGAATTTTTAATGTGGAAGACCAATAAAATAAATATTACAGCAACATGATTGAAAGACTGACATGAATTATACAAACCTCCAAAGAAGTGATACCTAAGGTTGAAAACTTTTTTAAAAATTAAAAAATCCTTCTTGAAGTTTTTTTTTTTTTTTGTTCTTATTCATGTTAATGGATTAAAGGATTAAATTTAATATTTACAATAAGCAAAATACTTTGCTGCATTTCAAACCGAATTTAAATTGACTGGAATGATTGTGTGTGTTCTTTTTTATCATTACAATTGCTAAAAATTCAGCCATATTAGTGTATCTATCAGCACAGGATTTTCTTTATTAAAAAAAAATTTCCAAAAATAAGATATACTTTTCTAAACCTTTATTTGAGAAAGATTAACCTACTTAGTTTAATTAATCTGATTTGAAACAAATATTTTTTTGTTTTAAATATCACAGAAATGCTTTTAATATGGAGGTTAGTGTTTTTATAAGGTGATAACATTCTCAATAAACTTGTTTAGGAATTTTTTTTTTCTATGAGGGGACAAAACCATAAATATATCAGAGACCCCTTTTTTTATATAATTCTTTTAACTACTCGGTAATCTTTCCAATTTAGGAGAATATTTTAAGTAATCTAATATTTCATTGAATTTCAAGTAGGATGAGTTTTAATTATGAAGACACTTTAAGAATTGTTAAAAATTACCAATAAATTTTAAGTTTATTGTAGTTATAACTTATTTTCTGTCCTGTATAACTGTCCCAATTTTCTAAAACCAACGCATTAATACAAGTTTTTGTTTTGTTAGTATATACTTTTACCAAGATTTTCTATTTAAAAAAAAAAAAAAAATCAAAAATAATCTTTCATTTGTGAATAAGTCCTGAAAGTTTCATTAAAATCTGACTTAGCTGACTTACGCAAGAATGTTTTTCAGCAGAAAAAGATATACAAATTTATGGACCCATGTTGAAACCAGAAAAGGTTTTTAACCAAAACTTTGAAGATTCTAAAAAGGATTAAAGATTTTGACAATAGAACTTTGTTTTTATTTGGATATTCTTTCATCATGCACACTCATTTTTTTTTTTTTATAGTAAATCTTTGATGGTATCTACATAAATGATATCTACATAATTCATGTCTAGTTTAGATATTAAATCCCAATATGCTTATGTGCCTATTGGCCACTGTTGATGACACAAGCACTTTTGTCTTAGATTGTCTTGATAAATTTATTATTGTTACTAAACCCAACATTTCATATATTTGAAATTCCATTGACCTTATGGCTTCTTCAGATGTTATATCCTTATCTCTTAACAAATGTTTAAATATCTTTAAAACAAAAACCTAACCTCTCCTTACTGACAGATAAAATGTTTGTGAAAGTAAAACGTTAAGCAAATAATATTATCCATTGTGGAAAAAAATTAAGTATTGTAGATAATACTTGTGTGTTTTGATCCACCACCCCCTCTCTCTTTCACAAAAAAAAAATAGAAAAGAAAACACTTAAGTCACTAATACTAGTTATATTTTTATAAGAAAATAAATAAAACTTACTATTTATTATGTCAAAAACTGGAGAGAAAATTGTTTTGACCAAGATGGGGAGTAACTTATACTACACATTATTTGTAAATTAGCAGGGACATCTGGCATTGCTCAGATCTCTAAATAATAGTTTATTATTGATGATTTTATATTTTACAGCCATCTTATGGAAAATAATTGTTTGTTCAATCTTTAAAAAATAAACTTTTTTGTTTTATTGGTTTAATTTAGGAAAATACCATGCTGGAAGCAGGGAAGCTTAGCATCCCCATATTTTTATTCATAAAGACAAAAAATATAGTTAAATGCATAAAACAAATATTCAACACCGCTAATGTTGACTGTAAGTAATGCCTGTCTCTCCTAATTTTTTGTATTTAACTAATTTTTTTTCTTTTCAAATACAAATATAACTTGAAATGTATGTATAATCAATTTTTAAAACTAAATTCTCAATGTATCTTGCTAGCTTCTACATGTGATGTTTAAAAGTAAAACTTTAAAAAAATCTAAATTCCCCCTCAAATGAATAGTAAATATTTTTCAAAGGTTTGCTATAGTTTTTGCTTGAGAAAATGATTAAAATAAGTTTAAATATCTTAATTTAAGTTTATTTGCTTTATTTAGATACTCTCGCATCTTTAAATAAATATTTCTTCAAACTGTATTTAATATTCATTTAAATTTACTGTTTTAATATTCATTTTTTTTGAAGTCGTGCTTTTATTATAGATGTGAAAATAAATTCAATAGAAATTTTAAAAATGCATACATGTATAGCATTTCAAAAGTATCAGAATTAAAAAGTAAAAACAAACAGTAATTATTATTGATCATTTTTACTTTTTAATTCTGAGAATTTCTAATGAATTTTAAAATATCTTCATATATTTATTTTACTGTTAATTATTGTATTGTATTTTAGTTTTAGCTGGGCACGCACATACAGACAACTGCTCTTTATATATGTATAGATTCTTGCTGATTTACTGCTGTTTCCAAGGAATGTGTTCAGAACTCCTTTGTGTTGCATTAGGGAAATTTTAAGTTCCACTTGAACAGCTTCTTTGTGGGATCCACTCTTAAAAAGATGTTTTCCCTGATCACTACAATCTTAGCCTGTTCAAGTCTCCCATAAACTGTGCCCCTTACTCTGTAACTACCTCAATTGGCTCCTGGAACTTGTACAGGGTGAATATTATTGTAAAAAGAAAATTCATTTTTTATTTTAATCAAACAATTGCATAAAATATTTTATTTTAAATCTTGTTCCAGCCAGTCAAAATGAAGATCCATTTAAATGATCTACTATTGTTGGGATTTATTTCTTTCACATACTGGGTTCATGTCTTGAGCCAACAAGGTCAACAGGCCTATCCCCCAGGAGTACCGCCTCCATCTGGAGTACCACCACAACAATACCAGCAACAACAGTTTCAGCAGCACCCACCCCAGTATCAACAAGCTCCTCCTCAAATGCAATATCAACAGCATCCTGGCCAAATGCAATATCAACAGCCACCCCCACAAATGATGCACCAAGGTCAATATCAGCAGCCGCCACCACATATGCAGCAGCAACAGTTCCAGCCACCTCCCGGGATGCCCCAGCAACAACAATATCATGGGCAGCCCCACCAGGCTGGCCGACACCATCCAGCTGGTCATTCACATGACTTTAAAAAAGAATCTCACGACAGAGAGTAAGTTAAATAAAAATTATCTAATTTTGGTACAATCTGTATTGGAAAGAAATCATTACACGTTTGTTATAATATTTGTAAAATGTCAAATTGTTTTGGCAGAAATTGTTTTTCATAACCGTCACCTTTCAACTCAGTTGAGCATTCTATAAAAAAAAAAAAAAAAAAAAAAGTTTCTTTATTTCATTGCAAGAGGCAATACAATTGTCTGAAGAATGACATATATGGAGTAATACACTGCTTGTGGAAATTTTCTGTTTTATTTATATAGCAACATACTGCTTCCTATTTTATGTTCACTTGAATTTGAGGCAGATGTCATTATGGTAGTAGAGGTTGAATATTGCCATCAATAAACTATTTTTATTTTTTTACTGCATGGCTATCTGTGGAAATATATGCCATGAAAAAGATATATCAAATATTTCTCAACTCTTACTAAATACTTAGACCAAATGGTGACTAATGCATTTTAGTAGTGGTGATAGCAGCCTGTTCCCCTCAATATGTATGAGAGATCTGCACAATTACTGGGGTTTTTTATGCTCTTACGACAAATTTGTTTAGCCTCGACTTCCGATGTTTCTGGCAAAATTCATCACTTTACCTACCAGCTGCTAGTAATGTAGGTTGAATTTGCCCTTTATAGCAGCCATTTTGAAATTGGCATTTGGTTTTCTTTACAACTTAAATGGGCCTAAAAGTCTTCTTACAGCTAAGGATATACCTTGTTCTATTCTGACACGTCATCATTGTAATGGCTGATTCTTATCTTACTACTGTAATTCTCCCACCTATAATACGCCTTCATTCACAATACACACCCCTAAAAGTGGGAGAATGCGTCTACTCGCATAACACACATCCCTTGCTTGGTTATCAAACCCTATAAATTGTAACTCTCCAATTTCATTATAGCCAGCATTTCCTACTCTTACTATAAAAAAAAAAGCTTCAAATAGAGAATATTCTTATAGTTTAGTTTTGATAATTATTTTATTTTACATTTGTAAGCATTGTTAGGTACATATGACTGTATTTGACATCCTTATGGAGTTGCAATTACCGAATGTTAGTGTCAAACTGCTGTATGTTTGTGGCGAGCAGTCATTTCACAACTGAAATCAACCTATGAAACAACAATTTTTTAAAGATTTTTTTTTTTTTTAGAAAAAAAAAAAAAAGCATATTATACATAATTACAGTATTTTTTAATGAATAATTAGAATAAGTAAATTTAAAAAGAAAAACATGACTGGCTTACCACAATAATCTAACTCTGCATCTTTGCCACTCTTTGTGTACTTGGACAAAATGTTTCTTTCGTTGTATAAGAAATAATGTTCTTGGGTTTATAATCTTATATTTTGGCTAATATGAATATTCTCAAACTGATTGTTATAGAAAAAAAATACATTTATATGGGTGAAAATTATTAGTAACTATTACATTTTATGATCACATTTGAAAATGAATTATTTCCTGGCCTACTGATGCAATTCCTTTCACAATGACAAATATAACCAAATAATTGTTTGCTTTATAAATATTAAATTTTAAACCAAGTGAAGACGCTGTTCTTTTCTTCCACATGATAATTGTTTATTATCATGTGGAAGAATGGTGGTCACCACTGCCTTTGGAATAACTGAAAACAAATCATTACATATGCCATTTCCTAATACCCTCTTCAGTAGACAAAGCATAGAACTGAACACTATATTGATGCCTTTAAGTAAAGAAAAGATTTCAAAGACTAAAGTTTCACAGTCCAGCTAAAAAAAATAAAAACAATCACATTTCTCTGACTAGAAAATTCAAATATCTAGTTTATTTTTCTAAGAAATTAAAGAAGCAAGAAAGCCAGTCACTTTTGTTTTAAGAGGTAAGTAAAGAACTAAATATTATTAAAGTAACTATAGCTCAGAGGAAAGGAAACCAACTCAAAGATTTGGCTGGACTTGACTATTCAGGGGCTGAGAATTCTAACTTTTACAAAACAAGTCAGTTCAACAATGGAAGTGAAATTCAGTGACACAAAATTATTACAAATTTTTGATACAGTAAATATAAAAACATTTAAAATGTTTTAAAATTTTCTACAAGCCAAGTATTAATTTATTTTAACATTCAGATCATCTCTTAATTTTTGGTCAGATACTGTGAAATATTCAGCACAAAGTAAAAAAAAAAAAAAAAACTATATCAAATATGTCACTAAGTGATTAGCAGGGAGGAATAAAGGGAAAGCAGATATGGATCGTGTCTTTATAAAGTAACCATGTATCATATCAATAACTGAACATTGTCGACTAACAGTGGGAAGTAGTTGCAACTGAAAATTATGAAAGTAATAAATGTGAATTGTTAAAATAGCTTGCTAGGGAAAAGGAATGAAATGATACATAGCCATGTCACTTGTTAATATTACCACTGCAGTAAGTTTTGCCACTGTTTCTATAATAAAAATAACCCATCATGTCTACAACTGCTTGGTAAATCAAAGTTCAGTTGTTCTATCTTCCATTGCATCTCTCTAGGTCTCCTTAAGTGATTATGTTGATTCTTACAGACACATAGCAGACCATTTGAAAGATGTCGTCAACAAACCTGTAGAACAAATGACTGAAGAGGAAATGGAATTCCATTACTTTAAGCTACATGACTATGACAACAACAACAAATTGGATGGAACAGAAATAACCAAAGCTTTAACTCATTTTGAAAGAGGTAAAACATTTTTACTGAACCATTTTGAAAACGTCTGTTTATAGTATTGAAATTAATTTCAACTTTTGATAAGAATTCATAAAAAAATTATCCAAAGAGTTATCATTTCCCATATATTCAATCCTTTGAATTTTGCAGAAGGACACCATGATCCAGCACAGCCTGTACGTACGCTATCTGACGATGAAATAGCTGAAATTGTTGATGCTGTATTGAAAGAAGATGATTTAACTGGTGATGGTTATGTTGAATACTCAGAATTTGTAGTAGCCCAGCGTAAGGCTCGCGGTAATACGCCATCACCCCCTAAGGCTCAAGACCATCCAAGTGGTCAACACTAAACATTCCATCATTACCATTATTTTGTATGTCATGTTTAATGATATTAAAAGAGAAAAAAAAAAAAAGAATTCCTCTTGTTCATTTTTAGGAGGAGGCACTGAAAAATTCTTGGTTTGACCCAATATCCAGAGTATTTCAATAAGTAGCCATCAAAATACCAATTTAGAAGTAGATTAGCTCAAAAGCTTTTCAGTACAACCCACTATAATATTTTGTATGTTATTTAAGCTGGCCTTGACAAAACGAAATCTGTAGATACAGCTATACCAAATTCATTTCGTTTTCTTTACGTTTAAGTTAGATCAAATATAACAGGAATGGATTTTTTTAAAGTTACCAGGTACTTAAAGATTAACTTATTGGAAATACACTATATATATATATATATATATATATATATATATATATAAACAAAGGACAATTTCCACAGTGCTAAAAAATTATTCAACTCAAATCTTGGAATTCTATGATTTGCCTTGTCTAAGAATATGTCACTATGCTCATAAATCTACTGGCCTTTTTATTACACCCATAAAAGCTGCATTGTACCTGTTAACTCTGTAATAACAGAAAAAAAAAAAAAAAAAAAACATCTGTTGATTTATTTATTTTTTTTTTTTTAAATTCTTATAATACTTGTAGAGAGACTTTTCATCCCCTCTCCTCCAATATAAAGGAAAATACTTATAGCTGGAGGGGTTTTCTAATTTGGGTGGCCAAACTAGTTGTCATTGTCTTACACTTTTGAGTTGAGAAAATGTTCTTTTCGTGCATGAGTGTAGGAATTAGTTACTATATTCAAAGCCATGACAATCGGGTTACTCTTTGTCTGTTGCTTAAGATTTAAATTCTCTTTAGATGAAAATCTGCAGCTTGGCAGAATGAGGCATTTTTGCTTCAAGTGGAAATAGCAATGACATAGGTATGTGAATGTAATTTCTCAAATTTAAGGGTTTTAAAAGCTTTAAATCTAAACATTTGAGCGTGAGAAAACATGTTTGTGCAAAAGAGTGTCTTATGATTTTATATATATATATATAATCCTGTGGTGAAATAGAAATAATTTACAGATAAGAGAGGGGGGGAAAAAGTGCAGGATTGCAAAATAAAATAAAATAGCTGCTTTATGACAAATAACTAAATGACAAAATCAGAAAAGAAAAAACAGTTACTATAGCAACAGGAAGAAAACCAGTTTATTAAATCCCAAATGTCCCATAACTGTCAGTTGTGATGACAACTGAATGGCCATTTTTATCTCAAGATGAAAAAATTTAAAATGGTTTATGGTAGTTAATCTGATGATGATGATGATTTTTTTTTTTTTTTTTTTTATTTACCATGAGTTTGTCCAGTACCCTCCTTGTATGTCCCCCCCCCTTTTCTCCAATGAGGAAGCTTATATTAACACCCTTTCCAAAACAGATGTTAGAGTGCAAAGTAAAAGATTCAGCATTATTTTATTCCATATGTAATGATGAAACATCATGGAGATCACAGATTTTAACATCTTTTGGATGGCTTTTGCAAATACTGATGTTCAGCCTTGTCAAACTGGAAAAGGAAAAAAAAAAGCATTAATAAGAACAGTAATTCTGATGTTCACATTTTCTGCTGAAAATTAAAAATCAACAATGGATGACAAATCTAAACAGGTATAGAAATTTCTTTATAATTAAAATGTCTATTTGAAATATAGAGAAAAAACACATGCATTTAACTAACCAGAAAAAAAAATACAGCTCTTACACACTATCAAAATAGCCATCCTACAAGCAGAGCAAACAAAATTGTAAAAGTTTTTTCAGCAATATATTTTGTAAAGATCTTATGCTATGTTCACTTGAAGACAGCTACATAGAATTGACCAATGAGAAACATTTTTCTAAAATGTTTGTATTAAGAATGAATTCATTAAAAAAAAAATTTTTTTTTTTAAATCGATAGCTTTAAGAAAACAGATTAATTTTACTTAAGTGTGTGTGTTTTTGGCTCCATTTCACTGTTTTGTAATGTGAAATTTCAGAAAACAATGTTTACTCCAGACCTAATTTTATCCAATTTTTTTTTCTTTTATAAAGAAAAGATTTTAATTAACTTTTTTTTCTTTACATTTGATATCACACACTTGTAGGTTATTTAATAAAAATTTCATTTTATGTATTTTTTATATTCATATAAAATTAAAGTCATCACAATCACCTTTCTATCAATTCAAGTTTGGTCATAATTGAATAAATTGCTAGTTCTCAAATTTTCTAAGAACTTATTGGTTAAAATCAATCACTCAAGGTTCAATGACCATAAAAGATTATGGAAGACCTTGAGAAAATTTTAAATACATTCAAAACTCAAAGAGTATCCACTTTGAAGTTAAAGAAAAAAGTTTAGCCACATCACTGCCTATAAATATGAAGCCATGTTGGTTGCCTCTGATTGTTACATTAAGGATGGAATTGGCATAAATTACTTACATTCAGATTTTCTCTTTTGGCTCTGCTGCTTTAACGCCTGGATAGAAAATAAGGAGATAATGGATGACAAACTTGATTGGTATTTCAATCAATCAGACTAAAATGTTAGGATATCTAATTGCACACCCACATGCATACAGGAATAATGAATGCACTAGGAGAAGGATTGAAAATTAATAAATTTAACTAAAAGAAACCTAAGATTCTTGGTTGAACTGCATTCAACTTTATTCATAGCTATGGCTTGTTATATCTAATGAAAAATTAGTGTTAAGATTATTAAAAATAAAGTGATAAGAGATTCAATAAAAAAAAAAAAAAAAAAAGTACAAGTAAAGCATTATATTAATTAAAAGGAACCCCCCCTTTTTTTTAGTGGCCGTTCCTTACTCAACTGATATAATATTCAAAGATGTGATGGTGAAAGGAGAGGAGACAAGTGGTTTCAAAGCCAAGGTTGAATGCCATTTCTCCATATATATATCGGAGTGTGGATTGAATATTTGAGGAGAAAACCCTAACTCTTTAGTTGTCTAGTCAATCAATGACTGGCAAAGTTTCAACCAAAATAAATTCTGAAATTAAAAACTATCTTTAGCATTCAATACAAGAGAAATAAGTAAAGACAACTCCTTTGTTTTGAGAGAAACTATTATTTACTGGTTGTTTCAGACGAACTTTCATTTTTTGTCTTGTTAGTGCTACATTTTCATTTAGATACATTAATTAGGAACTAAATCTCATTTTTAACAAAGTTTACCACTGTAAATATTAAATGATTGTAAGTGTGTGTGTATACAAATGGGAAACCTAATTAAATTTTTGTTGAATTTAATAGCATTTCAATTTTTTTTTTTTTTTTTAACAAAATCAAATTTTATTTTTCAGTTTCTAAAAAGTTTTTATTTACAGGATTTACCAGTTAATTTTTATAAACCGTTCTCATTTGTCAATTTTAGAGAACAAAAAATACTTTGAGTAGTCATTTTATCCAATTTAAGAGACAGAAAATACAAATTTAGCAAAGGCAGCAAATATGGGAATAAGAAATTTCTACAGAGCACTGACAAAAACACAATGAGAATGTTAATCTGAAGTATTGAGTAAATAGCAATTCATCAGATAAGAGAGAGAAAACATTAAAAACTAAACTGCAATAAAAAAATTTTTTTTTTTTTTTTTTCATTCAAAGAAATATTTTATTAAGATTATACACTCATCCTAAAATGAAAATTGAAGTTCACCATGTTTACAACAGCAAACTTCACACCATAATGAGAAGAAGGTCAGATTGAAACAGTTTGAACTTCAAAACTTCATGTGTATAGCCCAATTAATTAACTTACCATAATTAAAAACTCCTCATCCCACAGCTCCTGAAATTTCACCAATTGTATCAAGTAGGGAACACTGGTATAACACACACACACATATATATATTATATATATATATATATATATGAGAGAGAGAGACAGGAAGTCAACAGTTATCAAGAACTTGTTGCTTATGCTGTCAACCAAAAAGCTGTAGCTGGTTTGAATTAGTATTTTTAGCCTAAGAGATAGTATCTGATGGTGCTATCTATTAATTTATAGGCAGACAAAGTAGAAAAACCAGTCTCCTAAGGGGGTGAGGCCAAAAAGTCCAGCAGTAAACTAGAGATGGCTTACCATGTTTAATGACCAATTTTAAGATCAAATCCCATGTTTTCTATTGGTGTATCAGTTTAGAATACTTTGCCTAGAATATAAAAAAAATAAAACTTTATATGATATGGCACTGACATTTTACCTCCAGGAAGAATATAAAGTGAAATAGTCTCAGCATTAATTATTAGCAAATAGCAATAAATAAGAACCATTTGATAACAAATTTGCTATCACTTCATGCCCTTGAATTACAATGCAAGCTTACTGAACTAAGAAAAAAAAAAAGTTTAAAAGTTGACAAGACTAAAATGATTGACCGCTGACTATAGAATGAGCTCTGTAACATCAACAGAACTTATAACAAATAATTTTCATACTAATTTGTTTTCCTTATTTCTGTGAAGAAGTAAAGAAAAAGATTGTTTGTTGTTTTTTTTTTCCTTTTCTTTTGATTAGGTCTGCTGTCCTGTGGTCAGTTATTTAATGTAAACTGGACAGTCAATTTTGTCATGAAGTTATTGACTGGTAAATCTATCATTTTCATCAAATCATGGAGGAGTGCTCAGTGGATGCCCTAGTGCCAAGGCAGAAATCTGCACCACCATCACCAACTTAGGATGGACGAGTGTACAGTCTGAATAAGCAACTTTCCGGATTAGCTGAAAGTCTTTTGCTATAATTTCAGTGAATTTCATTAAAAAGTGGAAACAAAAAAATACATCAAAAGAAATATATTTTCATTGCATAAACATTCAACTTAAATATAATAATTTCCCACCCACCATTTTTTGTTTTCAAGGTCTTTTCAATCTTGTAATTATTCAAACTGATTTTAGGCATTTACTAAAAAAATCATTAAGGAACTCCTATGTAAACATGCAAATGGCCATGTCAACATTCTAGATTAAGAGAAGTTTAATATAGACTACAGTTACCTCATTACAAAGTGGAAAAACCAAAAATGAACTGCAATGGAAAAACAGTGAACAAATTAAGGCAGCAACACAACAGCTTTGCAGATACAATTAACATCAAATGAAAATAGTGAAAATATTTACTAAAAGGTTACACTCACAATTAAAGTCAAAAAGAAAAAGACAATACAACAATATAGAGCTAAATAAAAACAAAACATCTAAAAAGAAAGTAATAAAGTTTTCAGAATAGAAGCTGCAAAATGAACTTACCTTTTTAATGTGTGTCCAATCTTCGATAATATCCATGTCTCGTAACATATACACAATATAAGGTCCTGGGATTTAACATTAAGGAAGATAGATTTTGCTCTTTTTGAGAGGAAACCTATAAGAATGATTTTATATTGTACTGTAAAACAGATTTTTCTTAATTCTAAGGCTTCACAGTTTAATATGCTTAATTCAGAATACGGTACTACTTTTCAAGAACACTATGTAAATCTCAAAATTATAGCAACGAATGCAGAAACATAAGGGAAAAGTCATCACCTGACCTCCACTAATCATGATCTCAATGTCAGCCATAAACTAAAGAATTAAAAATGAATTTCAAATGCCCACTAATAAATCATCTAAACCCTCATGTTATATTCTAATGAAGTGGATAATATCAACAACAATAAAATCAGTTGGAAAACAAAAAAGGATACCCGTAACAATGGCCGGTTTTCGGCGTCTGTCTGGATTTGAAGGGTCAATTTTCTTCTTACCTCGTCTTAAGCTTTGTGTCTCATTCCACAAGTCTAAAAGATAAAAGGTATTACAAAGGAAAGGAAAGCTCATGATATTAAAGAAGACAAAAAAAAAAAAAATTGTAGGACTTACAAAGAAAAAATGTAATTACTTAAAACAGAATTATGTATAAAATAATAGCTGATGTATGAAGGTTCAACAATAAGTCTATGGCTTGATATAAAGTTATTAGATGAACTGAGATCTGAAATTTTTGCTGTATATTAGATTTATGCAATTCATATTACCCACTGAATTAAGTGCACTGATATGGTCAATTATATTGAAAAGTAATTTTTTTTAATCATTAGGACATGTAGTAACTGGAACTATCTCGGCTACAAATTTGAAGAACTTGTATGCAAGGACTATAAGTAAATTTAGAGGGAAAAAAATATCTACTTAGCAATTCCAAAATGGTAAGGTATTTGGAAAGGTTGTTAGAATGTTTTCTTCAAGAGAGCCATACATTGTTCCAAATTAACAAATATTCAGCAAAGATATTGCATTAAAGATTAAGTATTATGACTTGAATAAAAATAACTTTAATACTAATCTTCTAAATTCAATTACATATTTATTTTGATTTTTTTTGTTTATGCTATTGATTACCCAATCTCTCAATGTTAGAGGATTACAAAATGCAGTTGTTGTAAGGGTGTACGGTTTGGCATGGGGGGGTGCATATTATGAGGATAGCCACATAAAAAATATCTTTGATACTGTGCAGCAATTGTTATAACTGAACAGAAATGATTTATGACTCAAATGTGATTTCTGAGAATGGCTGGATTATTTGAAATTGTAACATAAGAGCTAAACAAACATTTTTTTTCAAACTTTAACAAGAATACATTTTCTATTTTTTTACAGAATTCTGACAAAAAAAAAAAAAAAAAAAAAAAAAAAAAAAAAAAAAAAATCAGATCGCAAAGGCAAAATAACTTTCCATCAGCTGTATTTTAAATTCAAAGTATTACATCCAAATGCCATATATATATATATATATATATATATATATATATATATATATATATATATACATACACACACACAGATATATACATACCATTTACACATTTAATGGTCACATATTTAATATTAAATTCCTTGTCAATATACATGGAAGTTAAATCTAACTTGTTGAATTTAAATATAAATTATTTAGCTGTAATTAATCCAGAGCATATAATGTTAGATTTACCATAATTTCCAAGCCACAAATAAAGTGTTTTCATGACCCAACACCCCTAAGTTTCAGGAATAACAGGACAGTCCCAGCCAAACCAAGACATATAGTAAACACATTTAATAAACATTCTTTAATACTACTGAATTTCTTACTGAACCAGCTATGCCAACTAGTAAATAATAAATGACCAAACACATCAAAAATATTTGAGGTTTCCAGATACTTCCTAAAATATCCTTAAATAATTTTTTCATCTTGGACCAGTAATTACTAAATAATACCGAAATAAAGAAATAATTGTAACCTATTTCAAATTTATTTTGAAGGCTTTTTTCTTTGTAAAATGAAAATACAATTTTATAGCCCAAATTAAATTGACACATAAATTTTATCTTAATGTTAAAAAGATTAACAGGTCATAAATATAAAACATGAGGCTAAAATAGCAAAACTAATCAAAAAAATATATTATAAAATTAAAAGTGTGATATCAAAATGTAATTAAATGTAATTCCATTTTTAATAATAATAAAAAAAAAAAAAAAAAAAAATCAGCAAAAACTTCAGTCATATAACCGACTTAAATCAGTAGAAATGACCAACCAGTATTGGTTATAGCAATGCAAAAAAAATGAATAAAATTTATAAAATAATTTATACTAAATTATGATTATGGAGGTCAGAGGGTAATTTCCAGGTACTTTCATTTTTATCTGAACTGACTACTCACAATATATAAAAAAAAAAAAAAGGATCTTGAATAATAGTATCATTTATCAGATTAAGGAAATTCTTTACACTAATTTAAATTTCAAGTTAAATGCATCACTTTAACAATATAAAGATGGCAATAAAATAAACAAAAGGATTTTCTAGCCGTTTTTGGCATTATTTACTCAAATCTATTTTCCTTGTATAAAGATTCACTTACAATTATTAAGAGTAACTTTCTTTCAGCTGGAATATTTTTACCATTAAGTTTTGTTGGCAAGATGGATATTAATTTTCAAAGTTTAATAATTTTGTTATAGAGAAGACAATCTAGAATAATAACTGTTCCACCATATTTATTTCAATTATGTGCACACAAAATTAAAATATATAACAAGAAAACATTTTAGATATCAAAAAATGGTAAAATATATATTTTAGACTTAAACTTACTGAAAATAAAATCACATTGTTATATAATTTCTTCAATTTCCCCCACTCTCAAAGGACAAAGCGGAAATTGTTAAATGAAAACTTAAATATAAGCCTCAATTATACATATTGAGTCAACAAAGTAAGCCTATCTGTCTCCTCGATAAAATAACAATCCTGGTCTGAACTGAGTACAGGCATGTGCAACCATTTTAATTCTTACTTGGGATCTAAAAGTCAAATTCTATTATCCAACTACAACTACCATTTTTCTTTTAAAATGGTTTATTTTATAGTCAGAAAAATCTTGAGTCCAAGGAAAGACCACAAAATGAATCCTTAATTAAATGCAAAGGTTTATATGTTAAAAAAGAAAGTAAAGAAGAAAAAGAAGAGAGAGAGAGAGAGAGTGAGAGAAAGAGTAATGGATGACTATGTGTGAGAAAGAAAAGTCAGTTCTGGTTCTAGTATTGGATACTATTCACATCAAGGCATGTGATCCTCAGATTGCACAACAGTCCAGCAAGTAGAGGGGGAGATTCCGTTGGAACTCAAAGTAATTACCTGATGATATATCAATAGTGTGTCTGTCTTCCTCTAATCGCCTTATTCGGTCTTCTAGTTCTTGTTTTACAGTATCATACAAAATTATTTTGTCACTCTGAAAACAGAAATAAAAGTTATTAAATTTACTGATGAAATCCTGAAGGAACAACAGAAAGCCGAGAGAAAATTTGGTAATTCCTTGTTTGGTCATAGTGTAAAGTCAACGGAAGAACTATCTGACTTCCAGGGGGACAGCCCTAGTTTGGTAAGAGAGTGGGCAAATTCAGATTGACCACACTACATGTTCTGGTCAGTGAGAGATGATTGTAAATACTGACCAAGCCTAAATGATTGGCTTCATGAGAAGGGGGGAGGGTGGATTAAGAGACTGGAAGATATTTCTCTTGTTTTAACAGTTCTATCCAATGATCTGTAAGAGAATCATTTGCACAAGGAATCAGACATTAGTATTCCTTTGGCCAAACAACCACAACACACACTCACAAATGAAAAAAAAAAAAAATAAATAAATAAATGAAAAAAGGATGACAGCCAACTTACTTCCATATTTTGACGTGCTGCAACTTCTTCACTCTCATATTTACATTTTATAGACTGCAGCCGAAGTTCTCTCAAAATACCTGAAGAATGTTAAGAATTAATATAAAAATACGATCCTCATTTAACAGTGAACACACACAAAATTCACTCACCTAAAGAGGGATTGCAATATCATGAACCAACAAAACCATTTAATAAAGTGATTTTTCAGGCTACCTCAAATTTAATACTTGACCATAACTTTAGCTACTTTTATATACTCTTCAGCCATGTTATAAATTGAATATCAATTTATCTGAAACAAGTCAATTTTTTATATCATTATTGTTGTTGAAACCTAGGGAGAGGTTACTGAATAATTAAACAAAGATTGGAAATGAAAGATAATACTTAGGACAAGAACACACATAAGACTTGCCAGTGGTGCATAGAAGTAGTAGTCAACTGCTAGAAGTGAGTCAAGTGAATTCCAAAATGAATCTCCAACTGCAGGATACCCACCAACTAGCCCACACAGTCAGATGTGGCACAACGCCAGAATCTAATGTGGGATATCTGAGCCTATAGGCTCAGCCAAAAGTTTCCCGTAGACTCCGTATAAAACGAGGTCAGGTAGCAGTTTCCCCAAGACAAGACTCAGCTGGGGATCTTCTCTGCCTGGAGGCAGAGAGTTTGACCAGCACAGCTGGAGACATGTCTTCAACTGCAGATCAACATACAGTACTTACTACTGTAAGTATGTGAATGGGGACATACCCATTATCGTTCATAGGTATGCTATAAAAATTATATATTTTAAAAAATTAAAAATCTTCCTTGAAGGTTTCACTTGACTTTTAATTTCAAGTTAATAGATTAAATTTAATATTTCCAATAGGCAAAATACTTTGCTGTATTTTAAAACTAATTTAAATTGACTGGAATGAAAAAAAATCAATGGCATAATGATGTAATTAAAAAGTTTTTCAAAAACAAAATATACTTTTCTGAAACTTTGAGGAATATTAACTGATTTAAAGTTTAATTAATTTGAAACAAATATTATTTACTTTTAGATTAAAATATTGCAGTAATGCATTTAACATGGAGGTAAGCGTTTATTTAAGGTGTGGACAGTTTGATTGACAACCAGAAATTTAACTAAATTTTTTCTACAGGGAACATATCTGTAAAAATAACTTGAGAAATATAACAAGTGCCTATTTTTTTTTCCTTATCAGTTTAAAAAATACCCAGTAATCTTGAAAATATTCTCTGTAATCTAATGTTTTATAAAATTTTAGATACTTTGGTTTTAAATTTACTATAGTTACCACTCTTATTTTCTGGTGGATGTCAGTATTTACAAAAATAGATCCATTTATACACCCACACAAAAAAAAAAAAAAAATTCCGATTTAAAATACGAATTCACTGAATTGAATTCTAAGCTTTTCCCCTTACGATTAGTAAAAATAGTTTTTACTTAATAACAATGTCACCTAACCCATATAAATTAATACAGAATTTTTAGATTCAAAACTTTATAAATTATCCTAATTAAAATTTTTAAAAAATATGAAAATAATTCTTGTAAAAATTATTCATTGAAAAACTTATTTTTTTTAAAACAATAGTGCCTATAATATATTTTATTCATAAAAGCAATTAAAAGCTTTTCTAATTAAATAATATCTAGTTTTATTGCATTTTTATTTTACGATTCAGAGCAGATTTTTAGTAACTGCATTTTGAGAAGAGTTCTGATCATTTACTTAGCAGTGTGCTTTGGTCTGGGAAGAGAACTATAGCTATTTTCTCCTCCAGGCAGAGTTTACAGTTTTTGGATTGATTGTTGATGTTCTTTTCCTTATTTTCCATTGGTTATTTTTGGTGTGCTTTAAACTGAGAGATTCAAAACAAATCACACCAAAAACATCATGGAAAATAAGAAAAAGAACATCAGCCTACAAGAATCAATCCAAAACTATAAACTCTTAAAATTGTGCAGTTGAGCGAGACCAACAAAATGCCTTGTAAAACCAAAGATTAACAGAAGGTAAGGATTATGGAAGTATTCTACATTCTAAATAAAGAGGCTATCAGAAAGAGTTGAAGGAGATTCTGAAGTCATCTGGAGACTGGTCAAAGGCCAATGGCAATTTTATTAAATAATTTTACTCTTTAGTATTAAGATATTTGTGTAGTTTTGGTAAATATATGTTAAAATATGATGCTCGTGTTATTTTTTGTGTAATTTATATAATTAATCCATCGCACCCTGTGTTTTTATATATATATATATATATATATATATATATATATATATAGTGTAACCCGGATATAAGAGAGATTTTCTCTGGTCCCAAATTAGAGCCTGTGTTAATGTATATAAAATAGATAAACCCGGATATAAGAGACTTCTTCTCCAGTCCCGACAACTCTCTTATATCCGGGTTACAGTGTGTGTGTGTGTGTGTGTATATATATATATATATATATATATATATATATATATATATACACACACACAAGTTAGTCAGTTTGGCAATTTATGTTTTAGTATCGGGGGGTTTTTCCTTGATACCCTGTTTTTTTTGGTTTTTAATTTAGTATTTTTGCTTTCTAAGGGAGCCATTCATTTTCTTGTATAATGATAGCATTTCCAGTCGTCAATATCTGATTCTGTTTGAGATTGATAAATTTGCGACTTAGTCCATTCAACTCCCAATTTCTCGTGTATTTCTGGTCCAATCTTAAAAATATTCATATGGCTGGAAATAAAATAATCTTTCTAAATACGTAATTTGTATGTGCTTTTATTCATTGAATTTTTTTTTTTTTTACAGTGAGTTAAAATGGTATTTTGCTTTGAACAGCTGAAATGCGAAAAATTGTTTTTAGACTAAATTTTACACATTAAAATCAAAGTGACCAATATTTATCAATATCCTTGAAATGAAATTGTACACTCAATTAGAAGATACCTGAAACTGCAACCAGAAAGATGTTCATAGTGATAAAAGAACTTTCAAACTACTGTCTTACACTTGTTTTCAAGTGATTATTTTTGAGGCAAAGAATGTTAAATAATTTGTATTTTCTTTACACTTATGGCCTGCCATAGAAAATAAGTGCATATTATATTAAGGCTCGAACAGTGGTTAAAAAAGAATAATTTTTACTTTGGGTTTAAAAAAAAAAAAAAGACTTGCAGTTTTGAAAAAATATATATTTTAAAACAGAGTAAAACTTACTTTATTTTTTTTAATTTTAGGTGTATTTGCTAGATAGTAACAATTTTATTTGTAGAAAACAAACACTAGAAACTCACATATCTGTAAATGTACACATTTTAAAAGTGAAATTAAGAACTATTTTAATTATTTTTAATATAAGTGCATTCCCTAGTTAAAAAAACAAATTATTTATAAAAAAAAAATCTTCATTCATTTTTTCTTGTTTAAAACAGCTTTATTTCGTGATTGGTGTACACTGGCTTTCGGTTTACACTAGAAAACAATTATTACTCTTCCTTACAAAAAATCTGACTTCATAAAATTTTTAACATTAAGACGAAACTGGCAACTATTTTTATTTTTTATTTTTACTTGCTATTTTGTTGTGTGTGTGTGTGTGTATATATATATATATATATATATATATATATATATATATACACAAGCATTTCAAATTTTTCTTAATTCCATTTTAGGGAATTCCGTTTTCAGTATAGAATACTGATTATACCCCCATTATAATATTTAATGAGAATGTGTAACATTATATAAATGTTATTAAAACAAGAAAATAAAGGAAAATGAAAAATTTTACTAACTGGAATATCCACCTATTGGATAAATTGCTCCAGTTTGATAGGGTTTTGTACCTCATACTTCAACCCTTAATCTACCTTGATAAGTTTCTGGGGCAATCCCTGCAAAGAATTCTGCAATACTAAATAAGAATTATTAATTGTAAATGGCAAAACCTACAGAAAAGAAGCACCACAAAGTCATCTAGTGACAAAATGCTACATTATCATTTGATCACTTTATTGAAATTATTAAATAACATTTTTTTTTTTAATTGTTGTTATTTCAAGCCAACTTTGTAAAACTAGGTTCTTAAATACTTTAAAAGGCAAGGTGGCAGTAGATAAGGGGGACATAGTAAAACATTACAGACTATCATTTTGATGCCAGATGAGTGAGTTAGGAAAGGCAAACATAGTAACAAACAAAAATGACAGTTGGAAAATCTGGCGGAATAAAAAAAATCCACATTTTTATGGAAAACAAGCCCTCCTCTCTCTCTCTCTCTCTCTATATATATATATATATATATATATATATATGAGAGAGAAAGAGATATGCTATGAATGAATATGGAAATGATGTAATTACAATAAATTTTGAGATTTTGTGGTAAAAATGGCCTAAAGAGTCAACACTCATTGATGTAAATTTAATTGATTTGTGAGTTTTACATAAGATTTTTTTTATTGATGCTACATAGCTCTGTAATTAGATTTATATTGAATTAAATTGAGCACTTTTCTTGGCTTGTGACATGATTTGGGTGACATGGCTGGGCCACATTACTGTGTGTGTGTGTGTATATATATATATATATATATATATATATATATATATATACACACGGAGGAAAAAGAAAAACACTGTACCTGCAACTTGTATTCTTATTGCCTTATTTTCCTCCAATTGACCAAGAGGACGCCAATAATCAAGGGCCTTTCCAGCTCTGATTTCTTCTAATTTTTCATCAACCTGTTTCATTCGTTCTTCATATAATCTGAAACATGAAGAGAGAACATACAGTCTTCAGCTTTGTTCGTTTCTTATTGAATTGAGCTTGCAATTATTTTTTTATTATTTATGAGGGTGGGCTGAAAAGTTCAGAAGCTGATTATGAAGGAATGATGCTACCTAGAGCTAGGAAATCTTACAAGCATTCATTTTAACTCTTCTTATTAATAACTGCATTATTACTTTCCAGGTAAACTGACAACAGAGTGCTCAAAGAAGACTCTAAATGTAACTAATAGCGACTTCTGTTGAAAATGGACAAAATTTGGCATTTTAGTGTTATCAAGTACATACAGAAAAAGCGGGTTAGACCACAAAGACATTCATGCTACATTAGGGGATGACGATCCAGCATTAACAGCAATTATTAGAAATTTTCAATGGTTTAAACTTTTTCACAGTACCATAAGTCTTTAACTAGAGAGAGAGAGTGGGGAAAAAAAACCCTATTCATTATAAATATCCCAATAATGTCAAATTGTATTTTAAGATGACCTAATAGAATTTTATAATGAGAATCCAACACAAGTCTGTCAAACTTTAAATAAGAATGGTAAAGCCGAGACAGTTGCTTTAGATATTTTAAAGATGTTTGAGAGGGTTTGGCATGCTGGTTTTCTTCACAAGTAGAAGCGCTATGGTATTCCTGGCAATTTGATTTGATTCAATCTTTCTTCTCAAAATGCATAAAGAAAGTTGCAAGACCTGAAACTTATCATAACCCCAAGTCATAACATCAGTGACGATGCAATCCTGCACACTCATTGGAGTGTTTTCATAACAAATTATCAAAACACATAAAGAAAGTTGTTGTGAATGACCACTCCTCTAACTCATTTTGCATTAATGTGAGTATCCACACCCCAGGGCTCTATTCTTGGACCCACTCTGTTTCTTATTTTCCTCAACGACCTTCTTGATATCATCACATCCAAAGCCAGCATCTATTAAACTCCTGTCTACAAGATAGGTTCAGTAAAATTAAATTGGCAGCTGATCTCAAAAGTGAACTAGGACAAGTGGCTTGTAAATTTTAACACCTCTAAAATGAAACTGCTCTATTAATTATTTTAAAGAACCTTTTTTTACCACTGATCAGCATGGCTGATGCTAACCTTCAGAAGAACAACTCACTGCATCTTCTTGGTCTCATATTTTTCAACTGACATGAAGTGGAATGATTATATTGAATCAACTGTTAAGTCTGCTTCTAGGAAAGTCTGTTAACTATGTTATGCTGGACATTTTTCTCAACAGAATCTATCTTGCACATTTATAAGTCTAACATTTGCCTGTGCATTGAACATTGCTGCCACATCTCTCCTAGCATTTCTGCTATGTACCTAGAGATTCTTAGCAAAATCCAAAGAATAAGTAACTTTATCAGTCATGACCTAGCATCTCAGCTTCAGTCCGTTTCCCACCACCATAATATACCTTCCATCTGCCTTTTCTATAAATATTATCATGTTCTGATGACTTTTCCTTGTTGGTACATTGACTTCACAATTTTAAGTGCACTACTAGATTGGCATCTAGGTCTCATAATTTCACTACTGAAATTGCTAGTTGTAACTAAGTTTCATGCTGACAGTTTCTTCTCTTGCATTTCTCGATTGTGACACTCCTCTGGCTAAGGTATTAATTCTCCTCACAGTTAATACCAATTATATAGATATCTATCCCTTTTAATTGCTGTAGGAATAACAAAGTGACTATTGAATCAGCTACCAAAAATCAAATTAAGCTCCCCTTACCATGAGTAGAATTTCATTTTCGATAAAATGAGGAAAAAAAAATACCACCACATGCAGCATTTTTTTTTTTTAATTGCTAAAAAATCAGGGAAATATCAGATTTAAATTTGATGATAATTACAGGCAGTGCAATATTTGAAAGCCCCCCCAACTTTTGGAGCAGCAACATACACTGATAGACAATGCATGTCAACACTTTTGAGAGAGAGAGAGAGAGAGAGAGAGAGAGACTGAAAACTGTACTGAACTGTTCATAACTTCATCTTTGTTTCTTTATTCTTCTGTAACATGTCTTGCTAATACATTTTTTAACTGTTTGTTTGACTTCCATTTTTTTTTTTTACCCAGACTCGTATGAGTCTGCCAAATATTGTTTTCAAGACAAATGTACCAGGTGGCATCATAAAATGATTCTTCATAAATTCACTGGGATTACAACCCAATCCAAGACCCAGTATTACAACCTGTTAAATATAACATTCAATCAACAAGCCAACTGACTCCTCCTACTTCATGGAGACTCAACCTGGCAAAATGCAAAATTGCCAAGGTTAGAAATAATTTGACCTTCCCCGAGTCAGTGGTCATCACTGTTACATCTCGTATCAAAAGCAGATTCTTTTGCTTGACACCCATACCCTTTTTCTTTCTCAAACTGAATTCCTTATAGATGAAACACAGTACATTTTCAAGAGAACTTATCTATCCAACATTTGTCATATCTTAAGATGTAAATTCATGTTATTCACAGACCATAGGCCACTCACTTATGACCTCTACAGCAAGCAGACAAATATTTGCCACAAAACACCTAGACTACATTTCACTTCAGACATACAATACACATCAAATGTGAAGAAGATATTGTATCAAACACTTTCTCATACCCCCATATTCTCAATAAATATGGAAAGCTTAAGCTATGAGAATATTGTTGAAGAACAAAAAACAGACTTCACTCTTCCAAGTCAAGAAAGATATTTTTACTGTAACTTGAAAGTTTACCCATCTCTTTTGGACATTCAATTTTCTTATGTGACATTAACAAAATGGTTACAGCATTATGTAAGAAAATCTTCAAACACCCTCACAAATTATCACATTCTGGTAACCACAAAAATGGTAACAGATAAAATAAAAAGCTTTGATGCAGGAATGCATTCAATTTCAACACAAAATTGCCCATTGATAAATTCGAGAGACCTGATTTGAATATTGACACTGTTGGTCCCCTCCCTACTGCACATCATTTTAGTTGATAGCCAACTGATTTTCCTATTCTAAATAGTTCTGAAAGGATGGTAAGCAGTAGTTTGGATATGTCTAACAAAGTAGGTTGACAAATTCCTGGAAGAATTTAGATTGTAATTATCACAGATGGCACTCCATATGTACTGTTCCAGTTGTCCAGTATAATTCTTATGGCATGATATTTGAAAGGCTCTTCTTCTTTCCTCTTTAATTTTTGGAGCAGCAACTTGTTTCCTTTCTTCTAATAGACACAGGTCATGTAAGGCACTTATTCAGTCATTAATAAATTTTGTGTTGAATTGAGGCAATTATTTTAGAAGACCTTGTGGAAAAAGGTGGGGTCACCTCTCCACTCCATTTTTATATACATTTAAATATTGGGGGAAGGGGGTCTGCAATTTTTTTTTTTTTTTTAGTTATAATGAAAAATTCCTGATCATTTTATTTCAGTAAAAATTTATGCAATATATGATATACTGAAGATTTTTGTCTTGAACCTTACAAAACAGAATTCAATAAAAGCTCAAAAAATAATTTTTATTGAAAGATGAGGCTTCATAATCCAATAAAACATTTTCTTTTGGATTTGACAGGGAAAAGAAAAATCTATTTCAATATTTATTTTTTTTAAATTTACTTGTAATTTTTCAGTGTGATATTGAAATTCATTTAGTTGATGTTCACAACAATATCTTTAAATAAAAAGATGTTTGAAGAATGAAAGAAAATGTCAAGCTTAATGCCATTTTCAAGAATGTTTTTTTTCTAATTTCTATTTATTTTTTTTTTACAACTGTTAGATCATTTATTGCATAAAAGTTCAAAAAGAAAATAATTCCATGATGGCAATCAATGAACACTTCATTCAATAAATCTTTATCAATTTTTTTTGTAGCATTCCCTCTAGCTTAAATTTTAAAACTAGTAATTAAGACCACATAAATAATGCAGTTATTGTTTGAACTGCTGAAAAGAACTGAACAACAGCAATCATACCAACTAGTTAAGGCAGAACAAAGGTTCAGAAAAGATTCATGAAAAAACAACTAGCACAAAAAAATATGTTCAGAAAGTAGAAATTTACAATCCTACCTTTCTTTTAGAGCAGAAAACTGGTGTTCCAGCATTGCCATATCTTCAAGACATTCAGCACGCCGCCGTTCAGATTCTTCTTCATCAATTTCTAAATTTAAATAAAAAGGAAACATGAAAGCCAAATTTCAAAGATATCTCGCATAATATTTTTAAAGCTAGTGCTTATTGATGTGTACAAACATTTTTATTAAAACAGGATTTCTTTAAAAGATTAACAATTTTAAACAGATTCTATATAGTGCTATAGATGATTTATAAAGAATTCAGAAGTATCTAAGAAAATTAAAATATATGATTTACCATCAGTCAATAATACATTTTAGTATTTCCAGAAATTAGGGAGTTTTATTGTACAGTCCTGATTATTGCACCCATATTTTTCTATTCCTTTAATTTTTCATGTACATTTTAAGAGTCAGTGATGAAAGTAAAAAAAACTATTGTTGACCTGACATCACAGTCTATCATGCATAAACATTATTTTCATCATGTTTTAAGCAAAAGCAAGCATTACTTTTACAAAATCCATTTAATTAATCTTTAAATTTATAAAAAGTTATTGAAACAAATCTTTAGGACAAATATTGGATTTTAAAAAGATTTTAAAATTTATTTTCTACATTTTTTGTCAATAATGGAAGCTCAATGAGTGATGAATGAGTATGGCAAGATTTTAAAACTTTATTTAGAAACTTAGTTTTGAAATAGTAAATAAGGATTTCCTTATAAATGTAAATGTTTATAATAAAAGTATAAATTCATTTTCATCATATGTATTGGTTTGATTACAATTCTAATTATCAATTATGAAAACAAAAAACATTGCCAAGGAGTAAAGGTAGTTAAAATCATAGTTGTGATTTGGGAAAAATTATCCTTTTGACAGTTCTTTTTTGGACACAAAACTACAATGCTGGAAAAGAGAATATTCATCAGTAATTTATAGTTTCAAACATATAAGTTCTATTCTTTGTCTCTCTAAGCCAGGGGTCACCAAACCACAGCCCATGATGTCAGTTCATCCAGCCAGCCAACACACTGCCACAAATGAGCTGAAACATATTTATTTATATGGAATTATCAATAGATAGTAGTTAAATTTACTATGTAGAAAAAACTAAAATAAATGTAATTAAAAATGCCAAAATCTGATTTTTGGCATCTGACAGTAATACAAGTTTTAGATTGATTTGCAACTATGTGACTTGTTGAAAGAAGCACAAAGGAAAACTTCTTGAATTTTATTGCCGTTTACCTAATGATGAGTTTTCAAAGTTGAACAAATTTGCCTCTGAAATGGCATCAGTGTTTGGAACATGCCTGTGAGAAAACATTTTCAAAAATGAAGTATGTAAAGTCAGCACATTGAATGAGGTTGACTGATGAACATTTGAAATCAATTCTCTCAGATGCAGCAATTCCAAAGCAAATATTGATTCTATCTTAAAAAGGTAAATGCCAGTTACACAAATCTCACTAACCCTTTTGGCTGCTTAGTTTGTGAGATTTCGATGTGTGTGCACCGAGTGTTATATAATTATTTTATTGCTAATGTCACCTTCTTTTATAACTTTTTGGTAAATAAATGTTTGTTATCTTTATTTTTTGTGTATTCACTGTATTGAACAAAATGGTTATCCGGCACATGCTCATCATTCTCTCAGTTATCTGGTTCCCTGTGAAAAAAACTTGGTGAGCCCTTCACTAGACAAAGCTCAAATGTACATCTTAATAAAAAAAAAAAAAAAAACTTTGAGATATTGAAATTGTTTTGAATTTTACACGAAATGATAGGTACGTAAATTACCTTCTAGTTAGTCCCAAAGTTTGACCAGCACCCAAATGCTTTTTATGTTTTTTTTTTTGTAATGATATAAACTTATAATGTTAAGTAATTTACTTGTAAATTAAATTTGCAGGGAGACATCTTCTTTAAGTGTTTTGAGTGTTAAAAAAAAAAAAGTGCCTATTCAAACACAGGAATTCACAAAATACAATGCTCATAGTTTGTTTATATACACACACATTATATATACAGGGTGTATCAAAAATACTTTTACAAACTTTGTAGACAGGCTCCTCACACCAAAAACAAGGGCAAAAGTCCATATAAACATGTCCGCAAATCCTTTCTTTTTGAGTTTAAATAAAGTTTATGGTAGATGGTACTGTCTTGGCATGTAGACTAAATTACATTATTGCCTTTTAATCTGTATAGTAGTGAGTTAACCAAGAAGTGTTGTTTAACAGTGGCAGGATATTCCTATCATGAGTAGGCAAATATAATTTTTACATATAGCCACACAAATGCTAATGGACAAGAGGCTATACCATATTGCCTTTCCAGACCGAAGGCAGCTGAGTCATCCAACCTTTGCTGCTGTTTATCATGTTGCTAAGACAGGATCTGTGGCACCACAAACTATGGATTGAGAAAGCCCGGGACCTACTAATACACCTGACCACAAAGATCATATTCTACATGCTGTCGGAGACAATCCAGATATTAGCACACATCAAGTAGCCTTAGCATGTTGTACATATCATAGTACCACATGGAAGGTACTTCAAGAGCAGCTCCTGTATCTGTATCATTTGCAATGCATGCAGGGTCTTTCACCCCTCCATCACTCACCACAGGAAAACTTTTGCCCACTGATAGTTTATTGCACAAACTGCCGTTTGTCACTTCAGTTTTGTTTATGGATGAGGCAATATTTGGAAGAGCTGGAATAACAAATTTATACAAGCAACATTTGTGGGCAGATCGGAATCCCCATGGTACAATACTGGCTAGACACCAGCATCAGTTTACAATTAACGTGTGGTCTGGAACTGTAGTTGACTGTCTAGTAGGTCCATATGTTCTCCCAGCACATCTTACAGTTTCCACAATCTGCACATTCCCCAAACCGCAATCTTTTGGAGTTTTATTTGTGGGATCGCCTAAAACAATTGGTTTATGCAGCAGACATTAATAATGTAGATAAGCTTCATCAACGTGTCATGAGGGCCTGTGAAACCATTCTACAGTGTGGGAGTTTTTCAAAGTCAAATGATCCGACAGGTGCAAGTGGAGGATATCTTTAACATTTATTATGAGTTGCTGTGTTGGGGTACAACAATGGATTTTTGGACATATGTTTATATGGATATTTTATTTCGTCGCAGTGTCAGGAACCTGGCCCCAAAGTTTGTAAAAGTATTTTTGGATTGTACATTTAACAGAGTCTACTGTAAACTTTAAACTTAATAACAAAGAATCTGTGGACATATGTCCTTGTTTTGGTGTGAGGAACCCACCCCAAAAATTTGTAAAAGTATTTTTGATACACCCTGAATACATAAAAATGATCAGCTACTTGTTTCCAAGCAGGCCCATCTGCTAGGGCAGCTAGCCAATCCCTATTGCAGATGTTTTCTCAGGTGCATTTGTGAGTGTTCAACATCCACAGAGCCAACCTGTTATAAGCCAACTACTCTGGGTTGAGATTAATTACAGTTTCTGGGAGAGAGTTCATCATCTAGTGAAATTAAACCATCTACCACATTTAACCTAGCTCCTGCAGAGGGCTTCTCATCACAATAGATACAGAGGAGTAGATGCAATAGGCAAAAGTAAACTACAGGACTCAAAAATTGATCATTGCATTTAAGTATTGCATTAATAGTGATGCTTACCTTTTAAAAATTCAATGATAACTCTTCTGCCACCACTTAATGTAAAGACAATTTAAGGTACATAAGTCCTTACTTTCCGTACAAAAAATTATTTTTATTTCATGGATGACTTTCCACTGGATTTCGCAATTTATTTCTATGTTATAAAAATTGTTATCCTACAAAAAAGTTTCTTGAAAAAAGATGCCACAAACAATCACAATAATGAAAATTTTGTGTTTGGTTTCATTTGTAATGCAGACCTTACGTATTTTTGTCTTGCGGTGTAAATATTTGTGTGCGTGCACACGCACATACATTTGGATTCAAGTGGGAATTTTAGTGTTGATTTGAAGCCATATGCCATTTGTACACTAGTCAAATTTATTTTTTAAAATGTAAGTGATTTAATGCAAAAAAACCTTCATACTAGAAGAGATAAATACAGAGGTTTCTACAGTTACTTTTGTCTGCAAAGTTTAGTTTTTTTTTTTTGAAGCGTTACACCCCTAGCAAGGTGTGAAGCCACTAAGATGCAGGGGGTTGCAGAAGATTTGGAGCAAGAGCAGATAGGAGTGATAGAAGAAAGGATGAGGAGAGGAATAGTTGGAGATTATAGCTCTCAGGGAAACAGTAATTGGGAAGGGTGTTCCACAGGCGAGATGTGCGAGGTATGACGCTATTGGAGTAGAAGAGACAGCTACATTTAAAAGTTTCTACAGTGTAAGGGTGGGAGCGGGATGCCAGCCTCGTAGGGCGCTTGAATTCATGGAGTCTGGGAACCAGTGAAAGCAGCTCATCGGAGCAATTACCATGAAAGTATTTGTAGAAAAGACAGAGGCGACGGCGCATCTGTGAGAGAGTGACTGTAGACAAGACGCCACATCAGGGCCAATTATATTACATATCTGTCTCTGGATCTTGTCAATAACTCCGAGGTAAACAGAAGGTGCCCCAGACCATATATGGCAGCAATACTCCATGCAAGGGCGAATGGTTGATTAGTATATTTGAAGTATTGATTCCAGGGAGAAAAATTTCCTGGCACGGCACAGAGAGCCAACTTTCCTCGCAGTGGACGAAGCAATTGACTCAATGTATTTGTTCCATCTCAGGTCAGCAGTCAACACGAGACCGAGCAGACGCAGAGAGTTGTTCTCAAGAAGTTGACTATCAGACATTCTAATGAGGGGCAGGGAAGGATCTCTATGGTGATTAATAGAGAGTAGTTTAGTTTTTGAGGCATTAAAGTTGACCAGCCAATTCTTGCCCCCAATTAACAACCGATTGGAGGTCCATTTCAAGATGCACAGCCAGGTTAGTTTTGTCACCAACATTAGATTTGTTTTTGAAGCAGGAGTAAATTGTAGTGTCATCCGCATAGATGCCAACTTGGGAATCTATGGCGTCAGGAAGATCGTTGATGAA